AAAAAACTCATTCTCAAACTCATTTCACAATTACTGTGGCATTAAACAATAATTTTTTTCAATAGAGAAACTCATTTTCAAACCTGAAATAATATTCTCAAAATATTTACATCAACTTTTAAAACTTTTCAATACTATCCACATATTTTACAATTTCATAAATTAGATCACAACACTATTTTATGTTTGATTATATTATTATGTAATAAAAGAATTATAGATTGAATAATTTGTATAATTAAAAAATTTTGAGATAATATTTATTAAATAATCAAAAATTACAACGGTTTTGTTGTTTATGATGTATTTTTTTTTTATTATTATTTTGCACTAGTTTTGACAATTCTAAACTGAAATGTTATATGGACAAAACAACATAAACAATGTACGGTATTTCATAGTATAAGTATACATTTTTGTTTAAATAGTATAATTGGTCGACTGCCACACACAAGAATTTGTGTATTCTACAATGGCTATTCAGCCAAACATATTCATAATAACAATACAGAATAACAACAGTGGCCTGAAGAAAGAAAGATCAGATGAATTAGTGATTTAACATTGCCTAAACTTTGATTGTCAACATTATGTCCACAACAAAACCTAGATCATCCATCTTGAAATCTTTTGCAAAACCCAAAATAATCCAACTATTGCTTCAGCAAAACAATAAAAGTATTCACAGAACGGCCGGCAGCTCAAAAACTGGGTTTGGGATCACCAAACGCATACAACGGGACAGTTGGTCTGGTCTTATACCTATAGAAAGCCTTCTTCTTCGTGTACGTGCTGTTGATTATCGTCATGAGGATTTTCCCAGGTTCCCTCACATGAAATGAATTTCTTATGCTCTCTCCCATTTTCTTCTCCTGTAACAAGATTCTGTACGAGCAATCATCATCCGGTATGAATTCTTCTTTGTACAACACATCATATCCAACCACGGTTACATCCCAAGTTACAGTAATACCAGCCTGCACGAATATATGTAGAAAGAAAGAAAAAAAAAAAAAAAGTTTTGAAGTAAAAAAAATGTTGATACCATAACTTCATGAGAAAAAACAAAGCAAGATGAAGCATACTACCAAAAACAGGTACTTTTGTTGCAAAGTATTAAACAACAGAAATAAAAAGATATACCTCATTAACAGGAATCTGAATGTATTCAGTCCAACTTCCTCTTATATTCACTTCAAGAACTTTGTCATCACTTGAGAATTCAGCATCATTCTCTCTTCTCAGGCCTCCATATCGGACTAATATGTTCTCTGGGGTGGCATACCTACGCTTTTTTTTTTGAACGAGCTTAATATCATCAAAGATTGTGAAGCATTAAAAAAAGGAAAAGAAATATCTATATGTATTAGAATCAGGACATTTCAGGAAGTTGTAAAATCAGAATTACTTGAGAAGGGTCTCGGTGACTTTCGATGGCTTCACAAAAATGAACTTGTTCCTGCTCTTTTGTGTGATGAGCCGTAGGTTTATAGCGTTGAGAGTCATAAACCATGATGGCACATTGATGATTAACTGTATCCATGAAAATATTTCGGCAACAATAACTCATTTTAGTATCTCAAGGATAAAATGACCATAACCAAAGCCCTGACTAAAAAAATATCAAATGCTAATCAGCAAATTGGTCTGGTCCTTTCTAAAGCTCATCTCATAAGATCCCATTGCATCTTTCAAGAAAACCCCCAGCTTTAGTCCTCAATTTCGCTGAAGATCACAAGTTCACCTAAAACTTTATCCAAGTGGCATGACAATTTCGAAAAATGCCTGTCCCGAGATCGTAAAATTTTCGATCTTTCCACGTATGCATGCAACTTATACCAGATTTCGCGCCAATTTCCATCTCCCATAAAAAACAACTTACAAACCCAAAATTCTTGAAAAAAAAAATAGAGATCAACAATGCCCAAAAAATTGCTTCAAAACTTACGTTCTTGTATACGATGCCCGGATAACAATTGTGGAGCAGACCAATCATCTTCTTGTCGATCATCTTGACCTCCTTCTTCGCGGTCCCCATCGAGTTCTCCAGATCAATGATCTGCACGATCGAGTTTGCCTCCCCAGGCCCGAAGTCGAGGCTCCTTATCCCCCTCTCCACGCACAGCACCCTCCACGTCAGACACTGCTGGCTGTATTTCAGATCCCCGCCGCCAGTCCAGGCCAAGATCACATTTTGAGACTCTTTGCCCCAAAGGCTGTAGCACAGAGGCCGGCCCTCCTTGTCCCTGCCGCTGGTAAACCACAGGCCGCTCAACTCCGGCCTCGACATGGGATCCTCTCGGGACTTCTCGTCGGGCCGGAACTCGGCCCGCCATTTCAAGGCCTTGCGGAGGGACGTGAAGGCTTCGTGCACCTTGTATCGATTGGCTTTGAGGAACTTCATGAGGATTATGTCGGTGGCGGGGTGGCCGGCGCTGGGGAAGAGCGGGACACCCCAGAGGCTGGGGTTTTCTCTGAGGAGATTTCTTTCGGGACTTTTCACAAACAGGTGGTCGACGACGATGGCTTCCTCCACCCGGAACCGGAACTCGAGCAGGACTTTGCTCTTGGATCTTTTCATCAGGGCTGGGTCGGGCCCTTGATGTTCTTTGTCATCTTCTTCGTCGTCCTCCTCGCTTTCCGATTCGCTGAAGGCGTCGCCGGTGTAGATTTGCTCCTGCATTGTGACGGGTAGGTTCCGAGCTCCGGGAATCGGAGCTCCGGCCGGTAATTAATGCAACGAAATGAATGATCTTGAATTTGTTGTGCTTCCGTGTAATTACGAAGGGGGGAAATAACACTGTAACGGAAATGGTGAAGGGCCTAATATTTGGACCATTGACAACGTCTTGGAAGTTGATGGTGATTAACTGATTATGAGATGGGAACGCGTTGATTCATAACTAAATAGAAAATAGAAATAAAAAATAAATAACAAAATTGCTATCTTTAGATAATAAACTTGACTAGCGGTCAAACTCGAGTAATATGTAATATTACTTGTATGAAATGTCATACATTTTATTTTATTATGAAAATATGCATATCTATTAAAAAAGTATGATCGTTCAATTGTTAAAGCAGATTTTGGTGGCACTCTTCATTTGAGATCAATAGATCCGAGTTCAAGTCACTTAAGAAGTAAGTGAGGAAGATCCTCTTTAAAA